AAAGTCCAGGGGAGAGGTGGTAGAGCCTAAGTGGAATGGTGAGACTAGGAGAAACACACAGAGCTTTGCTGAGGCAGTGAGGATGACTCCACAGCGAGCCACTGGGAAAAGAAGCTGCTATTAATTCAGATGCAGAAGACAGATGACGTGTGAGAGGGAAACTCACTTCAGATGTCAGCTCAGGTGTTCTTTGAGGAGGCCTGCTAAAAGCTGTCCTGCTGGCCCCCATGTGCTAGCCCCTGGCCTTGGAAACTTACACTGATTATTGCTTAACAGCCCTGCAAGCTGAGAAGTGTTTATCCCTCTCAACAGACAAGAACACTGAAGCTTTAAGAGAGTAAGTATCTTTTGTCTGAAGTCAGTGAGTTCAGTGGCTCACTGGGAGCTATAATCGTAGCACTCTGGGAGGCCAAAGCAGGTGGACTGCCTGCGCTCAGAAGTTCAAGACCAGCCCAAGCAAAAGGGAGACCCCAGCTCTAAAACTAGCCCAGTCTTGTGGCAAGTACCTATAGTCCCAGCTACTCAGGAGGCTGAGGCAAAAGGATCACTTGAGCCCAAGACTTTGAGGTTGCTGTGAGCTATGATGCCAGAGCACTCTACCCAGGGTAACAAAGCAAGACTATCTCAAAAAAAATTTTAAAAAAATAAAGTCACTGAGTTCTTCCTGTTCTTAGGCAGAACTGACTTTTATTTGATCGTCTATTGCCCAGGCACACATGGGTTATTTGAACTTAACCTTCCTCCACTTCCTTCTGCCAAAAAGACCCTCCCCCCTTATAATAATGTAACCTGTCAGACTTGCTTCTGCTGGAGGGCAAGCCTGTTGAGTGACATCTGCCTTGTCTAATCCCCTCCCTTTGAGTGCAGGCAGAACCTGACTTTTGTTTCAAGCCAACTGAATCTGACAAAAATTATGGGATATTACTCTCACGATTATATTGTGCTGGAAGGCTCCATCTTACCAGATCGAGAGAATGTGTGTGCAGGAATGAATAAGAAGATTCCTGCCTGCCTTGAAGAAGCAAACAGCCATATAGTGAGAGGCCTGTAAGAGAGCACATGGCAGAGAAGAGAAGGCACCTTCAGGACCTCTAAGGACTCCAGCCAACAGCCAGAAAGAAGCTGGGCCCTTGGTTTTATAAACACAGGAAGATGAATTCTTCCAACAACCTATAGGAGCTATAGAAGTAGATCTTTCCCCAGTCGAGCCTCTGATGAGACCACAGCTCTAGCCAGCCCAGTGACACCCTAAGCAGAGAATCCAGTGACTCCAGGCCCCCAGTCTCCTACAGAAACAGGAGACTCTTACTCTCAAATAAAGAAAACAAAGTCAGTTGTTAACATCCCAAGCCTGTCTGTTAGTTGGGGTAAATAGATGCTCCTGTACTTCACAATCTCTGTGGAGTACACAGGAAGTCCTCACTTAATGTCATTGGTAGGCTCTTGGAAATTGCTACTTCAAGCAAAATGACATACAGCAGGTCCTAGGACAAAGTCATTTCCATTCAGCATCATTTTATTGTTAATGTTGATGAGAAAAAAAGTGGTTTTGTTGTAGTCATTTCACTTAGCGTTACACTACCCAAGAACCTACCAATGATGTTAAGTGAGGACTTACTGTACAATTTTGGCATTTCTTCAAATTTTCAAATATGCATATCTTCTCATTAAGCATTTCCACTTTGAGAAATTCATCATGAGTATATTTAAGAGAGACGTGCCAGGTGGCTCACTGTCAGCACGGCTTCTGACAGTAAGTACTGGAAACAGCCTAACTGTCCGCCGACAGGGGATAGGTTAAGTGTATCACAGTACCCCCTGGAATGCTAAGCAGCTAAGGAAGACTTTTTATGTACAGCTACAGAAAAACATCTCCAAAATATATTTGAAGCAAGAGAGTCAAGGTGCAGGACACTGTCCATATTATGCTCCACTCGGGTAAAAACAGAAATGGAAACCATCTGTCAGAATGTGCCTCTGTGCAGTGTTTGCTTCAAGGAGAGTAAACCGGCAGAACTGGTGACTAAAATAGAAAGGAAGCTTTTCACTGTATATACCTGTAAGAATATGAACCATGAGATACATTATATATTCACAAAAATGAAAAAATAAATAAAATAAAACACACCACCCACAAGAGCTGCTGCTCTGGCTCAGCGCCTGTAGCTCAGTGGCTAGGGCACCAGCCACATAGAGCAGAGCTGGCGGGTTTGAACCCAGCCTGGGCCTGCCAAACAACAATGACAACTACAGACAACAGCAACAACAACAAAAATAAAAATAGCCGGGAGCTATGGCAGGTGCCTGTAGTCTCAGCTACTTGGGAGGCTGAGGCAAGAGAATCAATCCCTTAAGCCCAAGAGTTGGAGGTTGCTGTGAGGTGCAACGCCATGGCACTCTACTGAGGGCAACATTGTGAGACTCTGTCTCAAAAAGAAAAAAAAGAGCTCCTGCTCTAGAGACACAAAGAGAATTGCTACAATAGGAAAACAAGACAGAACTGCCTCAAATTTGGCCACGCAGCAACCTGAATACCTTTTGTTAAAAAAGAAGAGAATTTCTTCACCACTTTTAGACAAAGAAGAAAAGACAACTACAGTCTCTAACTATAGTATTATATTTACTGTCAAATTTAAAAGGTAAAAACAAAAACGTCTTTTTCTTCTGCTCTAACGAGCATACAGCAAGAATCACAAACTCAATGGGCCGTGAAGGTAGGGCAGGTACCTAAGTGAATCAAAAGGCCTGGTGACAAGAACAGCGTGGGAATTGTGAGACTCAAAATCAGGTGCTATTGCTCGGTGCCTGAAGCCCACTGGTCAGGGCACAGGTCACATACTCTGGGGCTGGTGGGTTCGAACCTGGCCTGGGCCAGCTAAACAACAACGACAACGACAATGAAAAAAAACAGCCAGGCGTTGAGGTGGGTGCCTGTAGTTCCAGCTACTTGGGAGGTTGAGGCAAGAGAAATGCTTAAGCCCAAGAGTTTGAGGTTGCTGTGAGCTATGACATCATGACTCATCAAGGACAACATAGTGAGACTGTCTCAAAAAAAAAAGATCAGATGCCATCATCCTGTCCTTGGATGATGAGCTACTGACATCACAGCTAACGTGTGTCCTCTCTGGGTGCTGGGCACTGAGCACAGCCCTTTCCAAGAACTTTGGCAAAGAATTTTCCGGCTCAGTGCCTGTGGCTCAAGCGGCTAAGACGCCAGCCACATACACCTAAGGTGGTGGGTTCGAATCCAGCCTGGGCCGCCAGACAACAATAATAGCTGCAACCAAAAAATAGCCCGGCGTTGTGGTGGACGCCTGTGGTCCCAGCTACTTGGGAGGCTGAGACGGGAGACTCGCTTGAGCCCAGGAGTTGGAGGTTGCTGTGAGCAGTGAAGCCATGGCACTCTACCCAGGGGGACAGCTTGAGGTTCTGTCTCAAAAAAAAAAAAAAAAAAAGAATTTTCCCACTGATCCCATGAGAGGAAACTATTATTATCCTCATCTTACGGATGACAAGAATGTGGCTCAGAGAGGTCAAGTCACTAGTCCCGTATCACACAGCTGGACTGGTAGGGTCAGTTTGATTGACACCCTGCACTCCTCACCACTCTTCCTCACCTTCTGGTAGACACTTAAACAGAAACACTGCCATTCAGGGTCACTTTAGGACCTCCAGTAGACCCTCTTAAGGAGCCATAACTCCGCCTTACATAATACAAACACACTAAAATGTCTGTGTGCTCTGTATGATTTCTGAATGGGTCAGAGCTTGGTTGAGTGGATTCGCAGTGGACTAACAGAATGTTACATCATGTTAAATATATATAATTATAGAAATTATATATATATATATATATATATATATCTCACAGCTGAGTCTCAAGAATTTTAATTTCACAGCTGAACTACCATCCCCACAGTCTGGGTATAAGATCCTTCCCTGACTCCAGAATATTCCCTCCACTCCTTAGCAATCCATCAGATCTCCCAATCCTGGCCCCAGGCAGCCACTGGTCTGTTTCAGGTCTCTACGGTTTTGCCCATTCTGGACATTTCATGTAAGTAGAATCATACATACACAACAGGTGACTTTTGTGCGAAGATTTTTTCACTTGTCATAACAGCTTTGAGATTCATTTATGCTATGTATGTATCATAGTTTGTTCCTTTTAGTTGCTGAATAGGATTCCATTGTGGGGTGGTGCCCCAGATTTTCTATCCACTCTCCAGTTGACGGACATTCCCAGTTATTGACTACTATGACTAAAATTGCTAAGAACATTGGTGTCTTCATACTTTAGCCCCTGAATGAGGCTGATCTTTGCTTCTTTTGAGAAGCTGGGATTGCTGAGTCAGTGTGTGTTCAACTTTTTCAGAAAACTGCCAAACTATTTTCCAAAGTGGGTGCACATGTCACATTCACACCAACAATGTATGAGGGTCATCAGACTGAGGACTTTTAACTAAACTTGTATTAATGTCAATCCCAGTATTTCTGTTTTTCTCTGGAGCTAACATGTAAGCATATCTATAAATTTTTCAGGTTTCACTGTCTTCTGTAGGGAGAAAATCTCACAGCCCGTAGCCCTAGGCCCACCTTTGTGCTCAAAGAATAAAATACCTCACCAAATACACCCCACACTTTGGAAGCCCAAGACGCAGAAAAGACCTGAGAAAATTCACCTCACTGGGCGGGGGCGGGGCCGGTGAGCAGACTAGGGAAGGGCGCCGGTCTACAGTCCCGCCCACCCCGTGAGGGACTCGGGCTCTGAGAGGGCGGGACTGAGCCCAGTGGGTGTGCACAAGTTGTCCAGTCCCGCCCACCCCGCACTGGATTGGGCTCCTGAGGGGCGGAGCTAGTGATAAACCAAGAAGGTGTGCTCACGTTCTCCAGCCCCGCCCACTTTGCTCCCGGCTCCGGCTCCGGCCCCGCCCACCCTGCAGTCGTTGCAGCCCCTGAAGGGCGGGGACCGGACTGGCGCTCTGGGCTCTGGACCCACCCATCCCGCTGGGGCCTCAGGCTCCTCTCGACTCCTCAGCACCAGCCCCAAACCCTTGCAGCGCACCATGGCCCGGCTGCTGGCGCTGCTGGGCCCAGCGGTCAGGGTGAGCGCCCGGGTCAGGCCTTGCGCCACCTGGCTCCTGTGCGCCGCCACCCCCTGCGCCCCGCCGCCCCTGACCCTGCTTCGGCCCGGGCCAGACTACCGGCTGCTGCGCACGGCCGGCGGGGACTGCCGCGGCCGCCAGGTAAGTTCCCCACCCCCACCCTGATCCCGGGGCGGGCGTCTAGGCCCCCACGTGCGCGGAGCGCGGTGCCAGGGGCTCGCCACCTGCGCGGAAAGGACAGCCTTGCACTTGCAGCTGCCGGAAACGGAGCACTTCCGGAGTCCCGAAACCCCAAATCTCTACAAGCCAAAGAAGCGATCCTCTCTATTGACAGCAGAGAAACTGAGGCTCCTGGAGGTAGGGCGCTCGTCCCAAGGTCACATAATCTCCGGCAGAGCCCCCAGTTTCAGCCGACAGGATCTGAGGTAGGGCCTGGACGTGGTGTGAGCTTGCACGTAGCCTTCGGTGTTGGTGTCGTTCCCTTGGGAGTCCAGGTCGGGCCTCCTTACTGGGCCGAAGAGCAGCGGTGGCAGCTTTAATACCGCCCAGCCGGCTGCTGCCCCCTTTTTATGAGACTGGAAGGACAGACTCTTTCCGGCGCTCTCGGACTTGTGTTTACATCTCATTTTGGTTTCCTTCCATGAACACTAAGTGAAAACTCAGAACAGTTATACAAGTTTTACTTTTTGAAAATCTGTCAGTTTTTTTGTTTTTTTTTTAAAGTGGGTCTCTAAAATAGTAAGTTCGGAAGTCTAGAGATAGAGAAATAACAAGCCAGCACACATCAGCGCTTACAGCGTAGCCACTGGAGTCCCTTTGCCTGGGTGTGGGTGCACCCTCTCTATTCATGGCTCAGCGACCTCAGACCAAGCACTGAAGGCCTGCTAGCCAGTGTGCTGACCTTTCAGAAGGCCAAACATAGCACCCTACCCCGTAAGAGTTCGGGGGCAAATCCCTGAGCTGATGCAGGCCTCATTACAATGCCAGGCGCCCAGCCAGCCCTCCCTGAACATTCTGTAGTTTCTCTGTAAGTGGGGGAGACCTTACCACGCCTCCTCCCAGATGGAGAAAACTCTTGCCTCCTCCTCTGCATACTCGGAGGTCTTGTCTGTAATCCTGAGCTGTCTGGGATCCTCACAATTTTGGCATCCTCTGTGCGCCCAGGCTGTCTCCGGGTGATTCTTTAGGACTCAGCCCAACTGTTCCTCCCCCCAGGAAGCCTTCTCTGACCCACCAGTGATACCTCACATGCCTCCACTGGCCCCCTCTCTACCCGTGGGTGTAGATCTTCTCTGTACTCAGCATCTGGAATGCTCTCTTGACTTGTGTTGTCAGGCTCATCAGCCTTGGCACTGGCAGGTGTTTGTGTGTATACAGTGGTGATGAGTGTGGTCTCAGCCTCTCCACATTGTTTGTTGTCTCTACTAGTTCTGTGGCCTTGATCAAATTCTCTCATTTCTCTCAGTTTCCTTGTCTGTAAATGGGATATGAATAATTGACACTTCATAAAGTGTGTGTGTAAAATGAGATAATGTTTGCATTATCTAGTACATCTTAAATTAATGTTAGCAATTATTATAATCATAGTGAAGACATATAGTCAGGGGGCCCCAGGTCTCTGTGAACTGCCTTTGTTTCTCCTGTTATCTGATGGATGGGCAAAATGCAAGTGGGATGAGAACCTCACAAGAGGTTCAGACAAAAGATCCTCATCTCCCTGAGAAAACTATGCCCCAGCAGGGCTGGGAGCAGATGGAAAGAGGGTCTAGGCTTTGGCTAGTGTCTGGCACCTTACCTGCCGGCTGTTCCTGGCTGCCCTCATTAAGAAGCCAGAGTGCAGTGCTGCCCAACTGGGGTCTCCAAATGTGCCATTTAATCAAGTGCCAGAGAGACACACCCACCTCGGCTTTCAGCAGGGGTCGTTCTGTAACCAGGAGAGGAAGAGCCACAGAAGAAACCTGCCTTTTTCACTGAACATGATTGATGTCCTATAAAGGAGCTGAGCCCTGCCTGTGCTGCTTATGGGGGCAGGGAGGATGGCTCTAAGGCAAATGACATGCTCCCCTGAGCCCTGTGTGCTTCCGTCTGCATCAGCCCTGGCTCCAGTGCTGCCTGTTCAGGAAGACCTTCGTGAACCTTCCTGGCCTTCTGGAAACTTACAGCGTCCCTCCCACCTGCCTCTCTCCCCTCCTTGCTGTTTCTCCATTGCACTTGCCTAAAGCAGCAGCCTTGAGACTTTACCTGTTTACTGTCCCTCTCCTCCCACAAGTCCATAGCCTCCTTGGGGGGAAAGCAGGTTGTCAGTTTTGTTCATTGCTGTGTCCCCTACATTTAGGACAGTGCCTGGCACAGAGTAGATCATGAATAAGCAGTTAAAGCTGAAGGTGGGAAGTTATGCAACCTCTCTGGGCTTCTGGAATCCTCTTCTATTAAGTGGGGATGACAGTGGTCCCTATCTCATGGGGTTGTTGTGAGGATTAGATGAATTAACATTTTCAAAGTACTCAGAACAGTGGCTGGTACAAAGTGAACCTAATATAGTTGCTGTTATTATTTATCTGTTGAATGAAAGCGGGTGCCACTCTGAACAGTGCGATCAATTATGGACGAGGTCTTTGGCTCATTCTTCAAATCTTCCTGCCCCTTCTCTATTAGAGCTTTTTGTATTTTAGTAAGTATTAGGGAGGGGGAGAAAGGGCATCTTTCTCTCTCTCTGCCTCTCTTTTACACATTGAAACCACGTTGAGTATATTCAGAGAGTGATAATGTTACATGTGTCCAGGGCAATGCCTAGCAAATATTACTACTTACAGTAATATTTCATGAAGAAATTCACGTCTGAAAATTTTCCGTTACTTGCAAGCCATGCCCTCATACATTTATTTTCATTTCTTTAGTCTCCTCAGGGTTAGGAAGAAAAGTACATGTCTCACAGTGATTAGAGAGAGTTCTTTATACCAAGGTAAAAGAAAACTGCATGTGTAACTAGAGATTCTCTAGAATGTCGGGAGCTGGGCGTGGTGCCCACTGACAGAAGCTTGCTGGCCGTGGCTGAATGTGTGGGTCCTGCCATAGCCTTGCAGTGGGCTGCTCATTGTGTAGCCGGAAGTCTGGCTGCCTTTTTCTTTTTATTTTTTGGCCAAAAAAAATCTATTTCTTGCTGAAATAGAGGGTGTGAACAAAAGGGCCCTCAGCAGAGACAGCCATGCTGGGTCTGGGGAATGGGCAGAGTTGGGGTAGTTAAGTCAGTTGGGCTGGGCATCAAGCGGGGAGCGAGGGCGTGTGGGTGGCCATCCTATCAGCTACTGCCAGCTGCCACCCGTCTGCAGCTTCCCTGCAGTTGAGACGTGGGTGGGGGCTTGTTTATCAGAAAGAATGTGGGCACTCAGCAGCTCAGCAGTCTTCCTGGCTGGGGGTGGCCGAAATATCTATCAAAGGCTGGGAGGAAGGAGGAGGCCACATGTGCTGGCCAATGAGGAGAAGGCTGGTGACAGTCTTCTTTCCTCTCCCTCAGAGCCCAGAAGTTCTGGGGTGGTGTCTTCTTGAGGAATGGTCACTCTTGCAGGACGTGAAGGAGAACCTACTAAGTATCACGGAGGCCATGTGGCCTGGTGGTGACTAGTCCTGCCACCAGTTCTAGCTGCCAGTCAGCTTCACTCCCCTCAAAGGGAATGATGGGAACCTCATCTCTCATCTGTCAAAATGAGAGTGATAGAGGTACTCTTGTCACGGGGTTGTCAGGGTTTTTAGGAAATTATGCTGTTAAGGTGTAAGCTCAGCTTCTGGCTTGCTAGACGAGACTTCTGCTGAGGACACTGGTGTTTTCCTTAAGTCTTTTGGAAAATGCCACCTCCAAAAATACAGGCAAGAAGCGGCCCAGCTGCAGAACCAGTAACAAGCTAGCTCAGAGCCAGACGCTCACGTGCTGACACCAATCTGATGACCATCCTTACAGAAACCTAACGGTGCTTTCTTCTTGAGAAGGGTTTTTCCTGAGTGTTGTTGGGTTTTTTGCTTCTCCCAGGCATTCCAGGCATAGTAGGTGCTCACCAAACAGAGGCCACGTGCAGTGAATCATTTCTGTGCATCCAGTCAGTGTACTGCCTGCGAACCAGCACCTTCCCAGTGTCAGTGCTCAGGTGTAAATCTTCATTCCTAAGTAAATATGCCGTAGCTTTGGCTTCATTGTATTTCATACCCACTGCCCTTTTTGTGTGTCATCTAGCATGGTTGACATGTGCTCGGGCTATGGACTTGGATGACCTGCCCTCTTGTCTTGGTGACTTTGGGCCAGTTACTTGACCTTCCCAAGCCTGTGTTACTCCTCTGTAAAGTGAGGAAACAACAGGAGCTACCTCAGAGGTGTCATGAGGATGAAAGGGACGACAGACAGAAAGCATCGGAGGACAGCCTGGCTCCGAAAGTGCTTGATAAAGTGTCACTGTGGTCCCCAAGGATAGGAGCCCTCGTGTTTTAGTTACTAGTACTGTTAATGACAGATGGCTTAAAATCATACACATTATCTTAAGAGTTCTGGAGGTCAACAGTCCAAAAGAGGTCTTAAAGCACTAAATAGAGCCCAGGTGTCAGCAGGGCTGGCTGTTCACAGGCCACCTTCTCTTCCTGCCTTTCCCAGCTTCTAGAGGCCACCCATGTTCCATGTCTCATGGCTGGTCCTTCCATAGCTGGGGGCACAGCACCTTCCAATCTCAGGCTCTGCTTCTGTGCCACATCTCCCTCTTTGCTAGAGACTCTTGTGATCAGTGGCCCCACCCAGACAAGCCAGGAGACTCTCCTTACACATAATCACATCTGCAAAGTCATATCATAGCCACAGGTTCCATCATTTTCGTGGCCGTACCTAGTTCCAAGCCTGTCGTTGCACTTGGTGGCAAAATTGGCGTTAGACTCAGCTAAGAAAGAGGTAACTGATCTCTCATCAGGTAGGAAAGAGTAAAACCTGGGTGAAAATCAGGCGGCACTGCCCACTGACACCCTGCTTCTGCCCTATGGTGTGCCCCCTTCTCTGGTTTGTGCATAGGACACCAGCAGAGTCCCCGAGACAATGGGCAACAACGTCAGCAGCACCGAGCAGAAAAAGCAAAGCAAGTCTCAGCAGCTGAAGAAGATCTTCCAAGAATATGGTGCTGTTGGTGTGTCAGTGCACATTGGGATCTCATTAATCTCCTTGGGCATATTTTACATGGTTGTATCAAGGTAAGATTTTTAACAGTAGTATTTGTGTTGATGTGATTAAGAACCTGTTTTGTTTGGGATTCATTAAGGGTACAAAGAATTAGGTTACACTGATTGCATTTGATAAAGTCCTTCTTATGATCATGTCCCACCCCAAGAGGTATTTTCAGCTACTTCAATTACGTTTTTAAATACTGTAAATCTTACAGCCAAAGCAGTTGTTTAATCCCTTACTATAATGATTTTCCTTGCCTCTTTCCCCCCAGTGGTGTGGACATGACTGCAGTCCTGCTTCAACTTGGATTTAAAGAGTCGCTGGTACAATCCAACATGGCAGCAGGCACAAGCACCTTTGTGGTGGCCTATGCAATCCACAAGCTGTTTGCACCCGTGCGGATCAGCATTACCTTAGTCTCTGTGCCCTTGATTGTCAGGTATTTTCGAAAAGTAGGGTTTTTTAAACCTCCAGCTGTAAAACCTTGATGAACTCTTCAGTCCTAGGCCCTGATACCTGTTTCTTTTAAATTATACAATTCGGATTGATGTTAGAGTTGTATTTCTTTTGGAGGGTGAAAGGAACCAGAGAGCTAACTGCTGTGTTTTCATAGATCAATTTTACCTTTGCCAGCAAAAATCAGGCTTTTGAATAATTACAAGTTTTTCTGCTTCATAAATTCTGTTAATGACATTCATCATAGAGCTTGTATACATCATCTAAAATGTCAGCCAGGCATTGCAAATGAGTGAACATCTCAGAACAGGCAGACTTCAGTATCTTCCAGAAGGAAGATCTTTGGCAAGGATCTGACTGCGAAAGCTCTACGGGGTTAATCTGTGCTCAAGTTCTTAAAATGATTAATTTAGGGAGTCTTTAAAATTCCCCCTTCCTCTGATGCTTGTCAGCTGCTTGCAGCTTTGTATGCAATATTCTACAGAACAAGTGCCAGTGCTACAGTTAACGAAGCAAGGCTTAGTATGTAATCAGGACCTTAATGAGCATCAGTGTTTTGACATTCATTACCCTATTTTCAGAGACAGAAAAACATGTCTGGTATGTTTCATTGATCCCCAAACACCCCAGTCTGGACATGATGGGGCCTACCTATCTCAGGTAGTTTTTCTGAAATGTAATTAAAGTAGGTCAGGGCTATTTGCCGCTAGGTAAAAATGGGGAAAGTTTGTCCAAGAGCAGTGGCTTCACTTGGCTCCTCAAGCCCATATTTAGAAGACTCTATCACACATATAAAGCTAAGGCCACCTTAGCTTCTCTGACAATCTTTGCTTAACTCTTTCTCAAACTTCAGACACTCCAGAACTGTTTACATCATCTCCAGTTACATTTTAACTGAGCTAAAATTATGTACATAAAAAGGAAAATTAGCAGCACTTGTTACAAACAGTGAAGGCAATGGTGAAATGCCAGCCAGGGAGGGAAGGGGATGCAGGGCTGATTAGTCTGCAGAGCCAGTTCTCCCCAGTGAACATGTCTGGGAGGCCAGCTGAGACGAGAACAGACCCAAAGGGAGACTTCACCGTGAGGCAGGAAGCAGCAGGCAGTTGGAGAAGGCATCCCATCTGTGGGGCCCAGCATTGTGGAAGGCTTCCCCTGGGGCCCTGCTCTGATGCAAGCCTTCCTCCGCACTCTGAGAATCCAAGCTGACCACTCTGCCCAACTGCGTGGTAGAGGGAGTTCCTTTAAGTTACATTTGTTGACAGAAAACTAAAGTGACTATTAACTGACCATACTGGTTTTCCTGGGCTCTGACAGGTCTCTGACAGGTCTCTGGTTACCCCATTGTAATCCTCATTGGTCATCTAACTTTTCCCAGCGGAAAGAGTGCAATTTATTTAAAGCATAGATAAGCATACCCTTTTCCACAGAAATTGGAAAGGGTCTCCTTTGTAAAAGGAGACAGAACCATTTTTTTCTCTTAAAACAGCCCATTGCCAAAAGATTTTACAGGTTTAAAGGCAGAACTGTCTTTCTAGGACCTAATCCCAAGTACTTCATACTGAGATGCCCCACGTCAGTAACTCCTATGTGCACTGGACAGAGCATTTGTATCTCTTGTTGAAAGCCATTTGTTGGCTTTAGCTCCTCAACCACTTTCTGTGCCAGTCTCCCATTCAGACCCCCAACAACGCCTATGGAAACTTGCTGCTGCCCACAGGTTTAAGGCCTTAAAGCTTTGTGCTAACAATAATGGAAGTGGCCAAAAGGGCAAGCAATAAAACCAACCACACCGAGTAGCCATACTGCTAAGCCCCAACCCCACTCCACTTCTGTGGCCAGTGGTCAGATAAGAATACCGGAGAGGATGAGGAGGGCAAAGCATCAGGGAACTAAAGCATTATGTGAATTCACCAGCAAAATGTAAAGATTGCCTGTGTTACCTTGTTTTTATGTAACCAGGGAAATAAAACTGATCTATTTAAAAAATGCAAACATTGTTCCAGTTCTTTTTATCTGACAAAGTGAGCAAGTTAAATCCTATGTAACAAACTCTTTAAAGTTTATGCACTCTTTAAGTCAACTTCTGGCAAGCCATGATCTCCACTGACTTGGGGGCAGCACTGGGTGACCAGTGTGGTAGTGTGCTGCTACAGGGAGCTTTCTCTTTGGTGAAGTGGACTGCCTGGGAAGACATCCCCTGTCTAGCGAGATCACTAGTAAAGTCAGATTGCATTACCCGCAGCGTGGCTGGAAGGTACATGAAATACTACTTTGGGAATATAAAAAGTTGGTTCAGCTCAAGACTATGAAAACCAAAAGGTCCCTTGTCCCAAAGGGCCAACCACATCAGTTTAATGTCACGTTTCTCTTCGTTACTTAGATGTTTGTATTGGCCACTATATTGACATATCTGATATCTAGTCTCTTACATTGAGTGTCACCTTCAATGACACTCTGCTGATTCTAAGTTCAACACTTCCACCATCCCTCATCACTGTCAGGTTCACCATCTTTGCCAGACAGATGACATTGGCAGCTATAAACATATGTAACTACTCCAACCCAAGGGACCAGAAGAAGACCAGACCTGCTCCTGCTCACTTTCAGAGGAACAGTGGATAGGTGGCAGAGGCATTATCTATGTGCTCTAAATAGATATATATTTATTTGCATATACAGTTTACACACATGCCACAAACTCCAATATAATAAAAAATAACCCCTTAACGGCTCTTCAACACATGGGACTTGCATATCCCAGCCAAGTCCTGCAGTGGAGGTAGCACGTGTTCCTATTTTACAGCATCTCATGGGAGATAAGTGGTTAAGGAGGACTTGAAACCCAACCAGGCCTGACACACTGAGACCACTCCGAAGGGACTGCCATGGGAGAAGACACAAATCTATATAAAACCTTTAACATTTAAAAGGATCACATTAATTCCAACAGCTTTACTGAGCTTGGACACCCAATAAATTACACAATCACTCCAGGTACTTGGAAGATTATTGCACAGCTCCTTAACTGATCGAGTCAGGACAAATGGTCACTTCCCCACAACCAGAAGCAGTGTATCTCCTACAAGGACACCAGGGCTGGCGTAGGCTGCGGGGCTGGCTGCAGTTGAACCTTGCCTCCAAAGCCATGAACAGTAAAGTAGCATTATTCTTATGGCTACATTCACTTCAGTGTCACGTTTACTAACATGGAGCTTTCTGAATAGACAGGCAGAGGCCCTGCCTGCTCAGTAAGAAACATTTCCCGTAGTGCTGTAGATTGAAGGAGGCCGTCCATAGTAAAAATAGATTTCAGTAGCATGTTCCTGACATTGTACAGCAGCCCTGGCTCAAGGATTTCTCCCCCTACATGATTCCTAAGACTGTTTGCTATTTGATTCTTTGTTTTGGCTACTTGATGGTTTTGATGAATTTGCTTTGATCCAGGGGTGTTCAAGTACTTCTCTGAGAGTCAGCCTCTGGCTTGGATTATGCTTCAACAGTCTTGAAATAAGGTCTCTAGCTCCCTCTGTTACAAACTCAGGAAACGTGAATTCAATCTAGAGTCCAACAAATAAAATGTCACAAAACATGGGTTAGGGAGATCAAAGAGTACAAATATTCAAGTCTTAGCTAAGAGAAGTTGCTGGATGTTTTTCAGTTATGTCTTACCCGTGATATTCTTCTGTAGGTCTCTTGGTATGTGTTTGCCTCAAAAGGAGGTTTCCCAACTAAAAATTCATAGCAAAGAACTCCCAGGCTCCAGAGGTCTACCTTCTCATCATGCATCCGCCCTTCAATCATCTCAGGGGGCAGGTAGTCCAGGGTACCACAGAGAGTGGTTCTCCTAAAAATGGAGAGAGGCTCCTGTTGACAAACTTCTGGCTTTAACATCACAACAGCCACTAGGAACATTAAAAATTATGCTAAAAGGCCATCTCCTATTCGGCATCATGGCCGCCCTCAGACCCCTTGTGAAGCCGAAGGTCGTCAAAAAGAGGACCAAGAAGTTTATCGGGCACCAGTCAGACCGATATGTCAAAATTAAGCGTAACTGGCGGAAACCCAGAGAGGTATTGATAACAGGGTTCAGAGAAGATTCAAGGGCCAGATCTTAATGCCCAACATTGGTTACAGGAGCAACAAGAAAACATATGCTGCCCAGTGGTTTCCGGAAGTTCCTCGTCCACAATGTCAAGGAGCTGGAAGTGCCGCTAATGTGCAACAAATCTTATTGTGCAGAGATTGCTCACAACGTTTCCTCCAAGAACCGCAAAGCCATTGTGGAAAGAGCAGCCCAGCTGGCCATCAGAGTCACCAATCCCAATGCCCGGCTGCGCAGCGAAGAAAATGAATAGACAGCTCATGTGCACATTCTATTTGTGTTTAAATAAAACCATAAATACTGCCATCTGGCATTTTCCTTCCAAAAAAAAAAAGAATTATGCTAACATTGAGTAAGAATTCCCCTAGGCCAGGTTCTGTGCTATGAAGTAAATACTATTATGAGTCCCCTATAGCAGCAGTTCTCAACCTGTGGGTCGCAACTCCTTTGTTTCATTTGTAACGATGCGGCAATTAGGAAGGTTGAGAACCACTGCCCTATAAGAAACAGATTGCAGGAGGTGTTTAAGCTTGCTTGCTTGCTTGCTGTGTGATCTTATCAAATCTGTCTACTTCCAGAACGTCCTTGAATGATCTAGAAAGCTGAATGTATCACTATGTAAAAGCTGCCATGAAGAGCTCTTTGTAAATATAGAGTTCTACATTTGTTCTTGTATAATACAGATATGCTAAAGCCTTTAAGAACCAGGTAACACTGAAAATAAACTAGACAGTTGTCCCACTGTGAAAGCACTAGGTTTGGGGTTTAGATCTGTGCTGCCTTCTGACATATCACTGTTACACAGGAGGAACTCAGATGTTAAGGATAACTTATGAAATAATATTCTTGCCAAAAATAATTTACCTGAATCTCTCCTCAGGCCCTGAGACCTGAATTTCAGTTTCTAGCAAATAGGGGATAAAAATCCAAATTAAATGAAAATATAATCAAAAAGTCCATTTTCAAATGTGGGGGGACTAGTCTACATCAAGACCAAAGAGACACATTGAAATAAAATGCATGGGTCTAAGCCAGGTTTGATTTTAAAAAACAGCTATATAATTCCATGGACAACTGGGGAAATTTGAATATGGACTAAATATTAGATGTGAACGATGCTGTTAGTTTGTGTAAGAGTAATAGGTATGATTGTATAGAATGATTTTTAAAAAATGCATACTATATAGTGCTTAAGGTTGAAGCAACATGATGTTTGCAATTTATTTTTGAATGTTCAGAGAAGTAGATGTGGCCAATATGATAAAACGGGAAATATTGTTGAATGTAGATATTGGATAGACAGATATGCTATAGCTACCAACTCAGGGTGTTTTTATCCATTTCAGTTTTTATAACAAAGGTTAGGAAAAAACTAGGGCTGACAGACACCAAGCCAGGAATAGCCCATGTAGACTTCGTGGTTTTTTAATCAGCACTATGCTGACACACCACTGGTGCTGTGTTCAGCCGGGCCTGCACCCAGCAAGCACTCACCACATGAGCCACAACCTGGGACTAAGGAGCTAGCGCTCCAGACATCTAATCCTTTTTCAGCACTGAGATAAGCAGAGAGACTGAATCAGGAGTTTTCAAACAACAACCACCAGGAAATTATTTATAGTTATTAACATTTGAGATGCAGGGTGAAGTAACCATCAAAATTTATATAAACAAATCTTTTCAGAAAGCAGGCGCCATCTTTTCTATCACAGTGACAATGCTGGACAAGTTAACGCTAGTTTAACCCTGGGACTCCATGGAATCCGCAGTTCTTTACTGTTTATCAGTTGACAACAGCTCCCACAAGTGACAACTAAAAGACTGTAGCCACAGATTCAGCACATTGCGGGAACAACTACAAATGGCCTGTAACAAAAGCAAAGGGTTTTTCCTCCACATGTCATCTATTTAGGTTATACTACAAGTTTTTTTTGTACTGGTCTCTTTTTTTAAGTCATCTGGGTATAATCTTGAGTCTTCTCCCAACAGTGACAAACCCTTATCAGTAGATGGAGGCGTTAAGATGCCTCCTCCACAAGACGTTTCAGAGCTTATTTATACCCAAATTAAATTTAAAACAGTCGAGAATACTGTAGCTCTTGTTTGGAAAGTTCATCCAAGATTTAAAATTGCTTCACTTCATGAGATCCAAACCAATTCATTTTTCATAAGTTCCCCAAAGTACGTGCTGCACTTGAGCCCTTGATCTGTCCATGGAGTCCTCTCACACTGCCTTCTGGAACGTCTCTCCGTTCCTTGTCTGGGAAGCCGAGAGCCTCTACCCGACTAGTGTTGACAATTCCTCCCCCCTCTACACGTGGGACAGGTACATGAAAGAGGTTGATTTGTCCCTTTCATTAGACTCTAAGAACATTAAGCATCTTTAACACTAGACCTGGAACTCTATAAATAGTCCAAAATGATCGCAGAATAAAATTTTCTTTTCGACACTGGTTTATTATCAGACCTAAATTACTCCAAAGTATTTCTGGGTCAGTCACCTGCCCCACTTAATACAGAATCTAAACTTAAATATTTTATATTTAGCTTGTAATTACCCCCAGGACTCTTGCTAAACCAAACCACCACAACCTCTAAAGTTACATACCTGGAGGACGGAGCATGAACGGACCAACCAAAATCTGCAATCTTAAGCTCTCCAGATGATCCCAGCAGCAGGTTCTCTGGCTTAATGTCTCTATGAATAACTCTCTTTGAGTGGCAGTAAGACAGGGCATTTGCCAGTTCAGTGATATACTATTTAAAAAAAAAATCAAAAGCCTACATGTCAGACTTTATAAATTACAAATTAACACTAGACATCTCTTCTGAAAGAAAGCCCAACACAGATTAATGTGTTTTGCAGGTTTTAAGGCACAAAC